TTCGACCAAAAACAACTTTTTAAAATCAATGCCTGACTTTTTAAGATCAATGGAGAAAAACTCCAAACACGTCATCAATGAAACGCACGGGTGTGAGCGATACGTCATCAAGGGCGATGTAGGTGTCTTGAGAAGTGCCTGTTTCAGCCTCGAAGACAATGTGGAAGTCCTCGTCCGCTTCCACCAGGATGATTTCCTCCAACCAGTTCTTCACTTGGTTCCCACTTCGGACTGACACCACCAGCCTCTCGCCGGCGTCGTCTGGGAAGGATGAAAATATGTTTCTTTCTTTTCAGTCTCTGTTTCTGTTTCTGCATATGTCTGTCTGTTTGTCTGTCTATCATCCTCTCCTTACGTAAAGGTCTGTACAAGATAATCTAAATATCTTTACTCTATTTTTTACATATATGCGTTCAAGGTTTTTATGCTTTTTTATCCACATCAGCATTTCATATGACATATAATCCGAAAATTCAAATTAATCATAAGGAACATATTCAGAATACACGTTAACCAGCTATGCTGACTTCCTTTTCCATAAGCTCCTCGTATATAAAATGAAAATGTAGAAACTTACCTTCTAAATATACTCTGAGTGTTCCTAGATCCACATTTTCTGCAACCTGATGGCTTGTGTGCATGTAGTACCAAAAGCGGATATAACACACGCCCTTTGAAGCAGGATACTTCTGGTCTGGCATTATTGATGCAAGCAGCCCTTGAACTCCCCCAAAGTTAGTGACGTACAAGTAGTGTCCTGTAAATGAAAAACGAAAATGAAATGCATAAATCGCAAAGAGATGCTGTTATTATACGTCTTAATTTGAAATACTATGTTTGGTAAGCATATTATTTTCAAAATCCTAAAAGGTAAATTACATTTTTACCACATTGCAAAAAAAAAAAAAAAAAAAAAAAACATGATTCCATAAGAAATTTGTGGATCAAACTAACCACTGGAACCCAAAGTATGGTCGTGGTCTGGGCCGACGTCAAGCATCCCGGAGGAGCTGGCTTGTAACCAGTCGAGGTCGTCGTCTTCACGCTGCTTGTAGGCGCAATCGCTCGGCCAGGTCATTGAGTCGAAGTCACAGTTACCCTGCCAGATCATATAAGTTAAAATCACCTCTTCGATCGTGTGTTAAAATCCTCTCTCGACGCAATGTAATAAAATCATCTCTCAGACATACGTGTTAAAAGACTTTCTCAGATCGTTTGTATCAAATCCTTCTCCAGATCGTTTGTATCAAATCCTTCTCCAGATCGTTTGAATCAAATCCTTCTTCAGATCGTCTGTATTAAAATCCTCTTGCGACGTGTAAAAATTCTAAAGTATTGTTAAAATTAAGAAAACAAACATGTTCACACAGAATCCAAATGCTACGAGTAAAAACAGCGACCTCACCTTAACACTGGGACACTGGAACTCATCACTCTTGTCAAAGCAGTCATACTGCGCATCGCACCGGTGCTGCCTCGCGATGCAGGAGCCATCCTCGCACGCAAAGTCAATCTCGTTCTGGCACTCGTTAACGTGGGGGGCGCAGTCCTCGAACCTGATGTCGTCTAAAGCGATGTGCGTCTGAGGGAAGAAGATACGAAAGATTTTTTTAAAGAATACTACTTCTGAATTATCATGTATTTCTAATTGCTACTTTGTTGCTGGGAAGTTATGAAAGGAAATAAGGAACTTCGGATTTGGAATTCGCCATTGAACTGCAGTTACGTGATGATCTATGAAAGGGGTCAGCTAGAATATACAAAACCTTTATCAGTATTTTGGGAAAGATCAAATTTTAAGATAAAAGACAGAAAAAAATCAAAATATTGCAAACAAAACGAATCATTTTTCAATATTTTATATCTTTTAGAGATAAAAAATGTACAACCGGCATACTTACATCCCCATCCTCGTGTACAGCCTGGAACTGCAGAGTGAAGTCTCGTTTTCCGTTCAGCTTGATGAACTGGCGTTTCCACCCGCTCGTTTCTGAAGATCCGCTCCACAGCTGTTCTGGTGGATTGCCGCTGGCCTGGGGGCAGGAGTTACAGTTCGTTTAGAATATTATTATTATCATTATCATCAAACTATTCAATTCATTCATAAATACATACTTACATTGGTTAGAGTCAAATAAAGCGAACCGAGAGAAACGTTGCCAAGCCAAACTCACCGCATCTTGCTCCGACTTCCTAAACAGTCCAAGGAACACGGGGGTCGAGCCCGTCGTGGCGAGGTAATGCCAGAATGACAATACGCAACTCCGGCTGACCGAAGAGAAGGTGTGAGACTCCAAGATCGCTAGCTGACCGGCAGAGCCCTAGGAGAGAGACAGAGAAAGAGGGAGGGACGGACGGAGGAAGAGAGAGAGAGAGAGAGAGAGAGAGAGAGAGAGAGAGAGAGAGAGAGAGAGAGAGAGAGAAGAGAAGAGAGAGAGAGAGAGAGGAGAGAGAGGGGGGGGGGGGGGGGGGGGAGGGGGGGAGGAGAGAGGGGAGAAAA